ACAGAAATATTTTTAAATCTTCTGATATATATTAGAAGAAACAGTGACAGCTGCTCATCTAACAATTTAGTAACATTGTATATGAACTTCTCAGAATCAACTCAAATTTGAAAAAGTGTATTTATTTTTACTTTGATGAACTAACTGCAAAATTATTACTTCCTATGTTTCAGTGTTCATTAAGGTTTTTGTCTGGTTAAGATAACATTTCTGTGACAAAAAGAGATAATCTAGCATGCTGGTGTTATAGGAAACATATCATACTTAATTGATTAAAATGAAGAATTTTCAACAGATTTCAATCCAAGATTACATTTCCTGCAGGAAAGTCCCAGTCCTCAAAATGTTTCCTTAACACTCATCTTCTTACAGAACATTACAACGTAACAGACAATTCATTTTCATTTCTGCTAATGTAAAATACAAAGCCAATCTATTTTATAAATGGCAGATCCAAACAATTAAAATCTAAAAAGTGGTTTTTTCACTCTTTCTATTGTAGCTACCAGTGGGTGTCAACTTTTTGATAACTGGTATTGATGTAATGCAAACTGCAGTTTTCCAGCCAAACAATTAAGAAAATTTAATATGACAATGGAAAGCCAAGGCAGTATTATGTACTGATGTGCACTCCAGATCTCAAAAATTCTTTCTCCTTTAGAAAAGTTACTACCACTATGCCAAGACAAATAAAAGCTCGGATAAATGTTTCAAAGTGAGAGTCTCATTTGTCACTTATCCAAATATCCAATAGCAGAGTAAAAAAGTTTTAGGATACACTCTTATATCCAGCAAAAGAGACAACTGAAATATATTTAATCCTCAAAAAAATTGCGGAGGAACAACGTAGATACCTATGTAACAGCATAGTTATCAATCAGTAAAGAAAGCAGGTGCTGCATGATTATAACCAAAGACAATAGAAAACTTAGATTTAAAACCAAGAAAGGGTAATCTTTGTTTTTGTAACCCAAAGGGATCCAATCAAACCTTTCCAGATGGAATTAAACAAAATCCTGGATATAAGAATCAAACAGAGATATCGCAGTGCAAATAGCAGTCTCTGTCCTTATAAAGAACATCTGTTGTGTTGTTTACATTCCTACCAAAATGAACAAGAGTATAGCTAATTCTCCATCGAAGCCAGACATGTTAGGGGGAGTGCAAAATTACTTCTTAGTGGTTTTTTAATGTATTATAAACACACAAGGACTTTTGTCATCTAAAAATACAGGCCAAAAAAAGGGATTGGGGGCACAGAGAATCATTCTGCATTCCTTTGCATATAATTTGCTAGGGATTTATTTCTACATTTTCCATTATTTTATATTTTATTATATGAATTTTTGTAGTTTATTTCCTTCCTGTTACAGGGAGGAAACAGGGTGTCCATTCACAAGTCCCTTGCTGAGCAGTCTGCTAGAAATTGAGAGCTTCCAGCCCATGGGTTAGCACGTTGCTCTCTTCCAGAGACAATAACTAGACTGCATTTAACCTACGCTCCTCAGGAAGTTAGAGAGAGGTCATAAATTATAGGTTATTACTTCATTTTAATATCCCTTTTCTCTGTTATCCTGCTCCAGGTTTTCAGAAGTAGTTGGGGTTTTTTTTCCCTCTTTTTTTTTTAACTTTTTATTATTATGAACTCAAATTTTCAAGCAGAGACCACCAAGTGCTTGTTCTGCTGTTTGTGTGCTCCCTCCATCCCATGCAGCTTGGAGAGGAGACAGGCAGTGGAAGAGACAGAAAGCTCCATCTTCCCCTACGATGCAACGGATGGCCAGTGGGAGAGAGAGAACCACCACACAAAATGTTCTTAATTTGCACCAAAACCTCTTTAAATACATGTTACTACTTTACGCTGCTTGCTGTAATCTGACAATGAAGTTTTAAGAAGGAGAGTTAAGCTTTGATTTTAAAAGCAACATTTTAAAATTAGTTTTGAATAAGTCTGCTATTTTTTATGCTTACATTTGCCAAATAATTACTGAGTTTTTCACTATTTCTGGTCTCACTCCACCAGCATTGCTGCTTAACACTGTGTTTCACGTTGTTAGTGTTCTTTTTATTTATATACACACGCACACACGCACATAGATGCTATTTCCCAGTAAAGGATACCTCAGAATTCAGCACTGAACAGAAAATAATAGCAGCTGGTTTTATTTCTTTATGTAAGGCAGAGAAAAGTTAGTACAAAAATAGATGGCAAATGAAAAGATTACCAAAAGCAAAGGAAGACCAAAGAGATTTAATCTGGGAAGAAGCTTTGCTATAAATATAATATTTCAAAAGTAAGCAGTATAGTTTGTATGTGGAAAAAATAATACCAACAGTGCTGAAGAACTATTGTAACTATAATACTGTAATTTCTAGCTTCTACTATATTTTTTATGGTCAAGACTCTTTTGCATTATCACATTTTTACCCTGCTACCTCTTTACCTTACCTCATTTTCGGCTTTCAGAAAAAAAAATTCTGAAAGAATTTGAGGGTATATGATTTAGAACTACATTATGCTAGTAAGTACTTTAATAGTGACTTAAAATTATAAACAAAATCTTACTTTTCTTCTTCCTACACAGACCAGAGAATAAACTTGTAGAAGAAACTTTTCTATTAGCACAGCAGCCTGATTACAAAGGGCAATTACTAATTTTGAAGCACACTAGAAAGACATGACCTGATTACAGCACAGTGATTAAGATACAGATACAGATTAAGACTAGGATATACTGATATGACCGACAGAATAAAATTAAAGTCACCTTTCTAACATCTAGTGATCTACAAAAGATCTTATACTTTGCAAAAGTTGGAGTTGAGCAAAGGTAATACACATTTTAGCCTGAGATATTTAGGTTCATACCATCTTATCCATTTCCATGCAAGCCAGGCAACTACAGACCTTTGAAGTAACAGCCTTGCCTTGATCCTGATCTTGAAAGCACTTGTACATGTTTCACATCCATGGTTCACTTTATACAATCCCGAGTGATCATTGTGAGTTATTTACCATGTAAAAATCAAGCACATGGCAAATAGTTGCAGGAGTCAAAAGCTATGAAGCTTAATGTCAAATACTTGTCACACTTTGAAATTTTTCTGTCTCTGAAGGCATCTATTACAGAACTGTTAATCGCACTGAATGGTCATTCTCAGACAGTGAGAAGTATAGTTGGAGCCAGGCTCTTCTTTCCAGGGAGAGCAGTTCCTTTGCCATAATTAGAGGCACTGAAGCACCCTCCACAAAACACAGTCATTTCTTTAATAAGTGACACTGAACAGTATTCCAGCCTACAGCAGCTTTCTCAGTTTGAAACACAAAAGCAGTAAAGTCTCAAAAACTTCAAAGAAAGCTTTTCATTTTATTTTCTCCTTGATCCACTCATAGAGCAGTCCATTTTCCTGAATTTTGCAAAATGACTTTTTCACTCATCAGACCTGTGTAACAAATCACTGTCTCAATCATCAAATGTTCCTGTTTGACTCCTCCATTTTTCCTTTGGCCTTTGGGTAGGAAGCTTCACTTCTGAAACATTTTCTAAATCCACTTTTGTGAACTCTTCTCCCTCAGTTGCACTTTGTTCCATTTTAAAAAATAATTGCATTTCCTGCAACATAATGTGCTAGTTTCAGGTTTTTAAATTTCATCAGAACTCACATTTTCTTTCTTAGACCAGTATCTTTTCTTTTAAAAGCACCATTTTATAGTACACTATCAGCTATAACATGGCACTTTTTAAGCAGTAAATGCTGTAGCACAACCTTTTTCCAGAATTCTCAGTTTCACTCTGCTAACTTAGAACAGCTTTTTCAGTTATAAGCCATTTGTACTCCCATATACACTGTTTAGCTTTTTGTGGTCAAAGATTTTCTAATTTCTGAACTTTGCTCCTGCAGTGTAAGACGGTATCTCCTCTGAGAAAAACTCTTTAACATGACAGGACTGTCAATAATCCTGATCTCCAATGTTAAAAAGGCTGGAAGGATATGAATATCCATCGTATTTAATGTATTTAATCATTTCCAAGATATACGAACAAATGCTGTAATACGAATTGTATTTTCAACTGGGTATTTACATTTCCAGTTATACTATCAGTAATGTACAAACCAGAAAGTTGCGGAAACTCAAAGCATAGCAAACTCATACACAGGTATGCTCCAGAATATGCTCCAGGTATGCTTCATTATGATCTTTGCTTACTGAAACCAAATGGATCAGAAAATGTTTCATTTTATGTTAATGGTGAAATGCAGCCGAACTGAGTCAGATCACCATTACCTAAGTTTTATGTAGTCAGCTTTACCATCTTCTTGATGATAGCAGATTTTAGCCTACTTCCTTAGCTGCTAAGGTTAGATATCAGTCTTCAGAAGACTAATAAATCTGAGCAGATATAATATTTAAAAAGATGGTGATCACTCCATAGAAAAAGGAAGGGATAAAACCCCTAGCTTCAGAGCAAAACAAAACCAGTATAAAGTGTGCAGTCCCAGAGAAACAGAGAAAGTCAGAGCTGTGTTTTCAAAACTCATCAGACCCTGAGTCAGGACCAGTATTTCACAAATATGCACAGGTTTGACAGGATTCAGAGCATCAGCTGCATTTTGCCTAGCTGCCTCTCTGCTGCTCATCTCCACCCCCGGTGATTCCTGCGTGGCCTCCCCCAGCAGGTAGCCGTTTCCCTCTGCCTGAGGTTCACTCTCAACTCCCAATTTCTGCAGCCTGCACACTCCAATCTCACTTTTTCCTCCTCAGCTCTGTCCCAACTACCACAGTTGCTGCCCTCTGTGGCCTGCGCTTTCTTTCTCAGCCCTGGGGAGGCAAAGGCCAGAGGGGAGAGCCAAGGCCTGGCAGGGCACAGCTCCCTGAGGGAAGGGCAGTGGCCAGGCCCAGCCTCACCTTCCTCCAGGGGCATCCTGGCTTTGATCGATCAGCCTTCCACAGAGACAGCAAGACCCTGAGAGCCCAAAGGCATCCCAAGAAGGCAGAAATGAACCTGGATGCTTTGTTCCAGCAAATACAGTTCACGGAGAAGCAGGCAAGAGAGAAGAGGTCCCTCATTCAACAAGGTCTGTACCGTGGATGCCATTGTGTGGGTCCGGCAGCAGCACTGAGCGCTCTTCATGGTGTCCCCATCTCCCTGGGGAAAAGCGGGGTGGCCTCACTCTGCTGTCATGAGGGAACCTTTCCCAGCAAAAGCCTGGCAGGGAGCCAGGCTGGCTGCTTCTTGCCAACGGCATGTTTTTATAAAAATGTAACATTTACAAACTGAGCACTTATTCTTCAGGGAATGTTAGGGGTTGGAAGGGATCATTGGAGATCATCTAGCCCAACCCCCACTGCCAGAGCAGGTTCACCTAGAGCAGGTTGCACAGGATGGTGTCCAGGAGGGTTTTGGATGTATCTACCATCTCTCTGGGCAGTCTGTTTTAGTGCTTTGCCGCCCTCAAAGTAAAGAAGTTCCTCCTCATGTTTAGATGGAACTTCCTGTGTTCAAGTTGGTGCCTGTTACCTCTTGTCCTGTCACTGGGCACCACTGAAAACAGACTGGCCTCGCCCTCTTGACATCTCCCCTTTAAGTATTTATAAAAATTGCTAAGATCCCCACTCAGTCTTCTCCAGACTAAAAAGCCCCAAGTCCCTCAGCCTTTCCTCATAAGAGAGATGTTCTAGTCCCCTAATCAGCTTTGTAGCACTTTTCTGTATTCTTGCCAGCAGTTCCCCTAATCAGCTTCGTAGCACTTTTCTGTATTCTTGCCAGCAGTTCTCTGTCCTTCTTGAGCCAGGGAGCCTGGAACTGGACACAGTACTCCAGATACAACTTCACCAGTGCGGAGTAGAGAGGGAGGATGACCTCCCTTGACCCACGGGCCACACTCTTTTTGATGCACCCCAAGATGCCATTGTCCTTCTTGGCCACAAGGGCACATTGCTGGCTCATGGTCATTCTGTTGTCCTCCAGGACTCCCAGACTTCCAGGTCTTTTTCCACAGAGCTGAAGTTTCTTACAGGTTTCTGTTGTATTGCAGCTAAATTCGACATAAATAGAATTTATGAAAAAATTAACCAAATAAAAGAAGAGCTGAGCACTGCAAAAATGAAATTAGAAACTAAGGTAAGCAGGCATTTTTATAGCATACATAATAATGAAATACATTCCATTTACAAATATATGACCTATTCTTTCAGGAATAGATTCATAAACAATTTCAAGGAGTATACTTTACTTACCAAATAACGCAGCATTGAGAAAATATTCACCATGCATTTCTGTAACGAAAAAAGGTCTGTCAATGTCTTTCCTTACTCACAAATCTCACCCTTCAGGCTGGCCCCTGATAATGTTCAGGGACTCACTCTCCTTAGGGGTAGGAACGTTTCCAGATAAATCTTCCAAATCCTGGAATCCCTGGAGACAGCACACGTGCATGTGGAAGTCACTCCTTCTCCACACATAGAGACTGGCAAGGAACAGACACTGAAGACAGAGGAAAGTTTCTGAATGTATTTAGTATTTTTAATATTTTAAGATGCTTTCTATTTAACTGCATATGTCTTTTCGGATTAAGCTTCCAGTTTTGCAGAGCTTTCCACCATTAATACCTCTGGTTACAAATTATTTAAAAATCCATTTGTCTAGGCCTGAAAATGAAGTCTAAATATCATCCCCTCTACTCTTAAATATCTGCACTGGCAGAATGTATATGCACAGCAGGAAAGCCTATGGAGCCTCCTTTGAAGTCAGAACTGCTGTATACTATTACTTAAATAAACATCTTCAAGAGCCTTTGAGCGATTACTTTGTTGTTTCGCTTTGTTGTGAAAATAAATGTTTAGGGGATGATTTTCATCCTTTAACAAAAAGGGTCTTCTGCCTTCTGTAAGAAGCTATGTAATATATAAAATAAATATCAATATTACTGCAAGTAGGACAGAATAAAAGAGAAATCATTTATAAATAATTGCAAATTAAGACTATAATCATGCAAGCAGTTATTCACGTGCTTACCTTTATGCATGCCACAATCTCGTAGCCCAAAAGTACTTTAAAATAATAATTTATTTAACCAACAGAGATTATATATAAGTATTGCTTGTTAGGTAAAGTCCTTTGTAGTCTTGCTTATAAATTTATTTATGAACATCACAATTTTATGTTTACTCTACTAATTTGTTATTGATGTGTTGTGATTTATAATTAAGGTTTCTGTGGTAGGTACAGAAGGTCCCCAGAGTAGAGCCATTATAGTAAATGACTAATGGGAAGATCTGAGGAACTATTCCTAATTAAATCTTATGTGCTTTACCCACTAGGATTAATAATATTCTCACTGATCTCCACAAAATATATTTTACTTGTTTGCTTAGTCTAATATTGATTCATTTTTAGATAGGAAATGATACAGAAAACAAGCGGAATGCATTTCAATCAGAATGTATATAAATCTAAAGATTATTTAAAGACATTTATTTGTCAGTACAAGAATTAAGTTTACATATGTTTACAATAGTAATATAATTCAAATAATATTAAATAATGTTGTTCAGTTAATGCTGTTCAATTTGTCCAGCACTAAACAACTGCATTTTGTAAGCATACATATCCAAGCACGTGCATGCACAGCAACTTACGCCTAACCAAACAGGTGAGACTGAGTTCAAAAGTGTTTTGACATCTGTTTCACTGAAACTGCCTGTGCTCAACCAGAGATTCCTAGGAAATGCTATTTTTTAACTTTGATTTGTAAAATCAGTTAGCACAAATTATAGAATCGGAACTCAAATTATAACAGTTTGCTTTTCATGGCTCAGTGATTTCTTAAAAACAAAATCTGTTGCAAATGTATAGATTAAGTTGGCATCCTGCAGATGGAGAAACTACACTGCAGCTAGTTATATTCAGTAATACAAATATAGTGGTATAAGACCATCTACTCTCTTTAAATTAATATGTGAAATAAATATTCTTGGACACTTAGCATGTCAGACATATCAGGGATAAGGAAAAAATCTGCCACAATATATCATAACTAGGTTGGACAATGGTACAGTAGATGCTTTGGAAAACTGAGAAGAACTCTTTGGCAAATTTTGAAAATGCGGTGGCTGAACAGCATACACTTCTATCAGATAAACTAGTGTTTAAAATTAATAAAACTATGCAAAATAGAAGTTTAGGGCTTGGGGGAGTTATGGTGAAACTGTCTTTAAACAATGAGCTAATTTCCATTACACTTCCTTGGCTAGGAATTCTGTAAGTTGTGCTCAGAATCACAGAATCACAGAATGTTCGGGGTTGGAAGGGACCTCTGAAGATCATCTAGTCCAACCTTCATCCCAGCATACCTAACCACTACACCACAGCCTCAAGTGCTAGATCTACTTTTTTTTTAAACACCTCCAGGGTTGGTGACTCCACCACCTCCCTGGGCAGCCTGTTCCAGTGCCTCACCACTCGTTCAGTAAAGAACTTCCTCCGAATATCCAATCTAAACTTACCCTGACGCAACTTGAGGCCATTTCCCCTTGTCCTGTCATTAGTAATTAGAGAGAAGAGACCAGCACCAGCCTCACTACAGCCTCCTTTTAGGTAGTTGTAGAGGGCAATAAGGTCTCCTCTCAGCCTCCTCTTCTCCAGACTAAACAAACCCAGTTCCCTCAGCCGCTCTTCATAGGGCGTGTTTTCCAAACCTCTCACAAGCCTTGTTGCCCTTCTCTGCACCCGCTCCAGCACCTCGATGTCCTTCTTATACACATCGAGCCATCCAGTCAAAACAATGATGTTGGATCCCCGTCCCTCTGATATTATTGTCTGATTTGGCATGTGATGAGTTTTACACAATTAGATGGAGGACACTCTATCATGTTATGCAAAAGATTCCATGTGATGGATGTTTTTCCTGGTTTTAACAACAAAAAAAATATTCTCCTAAACTAAGCAGTGTTTAAAATACTATTTTAGACAGATGGACCAGCACTAAACATGTCTCAAAAACATAGCGCTGTATTAGAAGATTATCTGAAGAAAGAAAGAGCTACTATGCTTTTGCTAGTTCAGCAGCAATGCCAGCTGTGTTTTAACTGGACCAAGGTCCTTATGTACAATATCAAAGTATATGAAACAATAAAACAATAACCTTACTTTATAACCCTTCTTTTTTTTTTTCTCTTGAAAGGTTCAGCATCTGTCTGAAAAACAGTTCTGCTTAGAAATTCTGAAGAAACGTGAAGACAGCTTAGAAAAGCAGAAAGCTGAACTTATAAATCAGAAAAGCAGTCTTCTTAAAAGCATTGTACGTTTCCAACCATAGTATTTAGACAGCTCTTTTCTACTGTATGAGAATAGTCAGCTTTAAAATTTGAAAATGTGGAAGAATTAATGTTTTAAGTAGCTTTTTTTGTTAATATTATTATTCTAGCATACTTACCAATGTAAATGTAGGCAAACTCTTGCATCTTCTAATGTCTGCTGTTGTATGACTGAACTCCAATTCTGCCATATTATTTCCTTTGTGAAAGAAAACTAAGAAAATCTCTCCTTGAATAGGACTCTCTCATCCAAAATAAAACAAATTGAGAATGATCAAAGGAAAAACTCAGGGAGGCCAACACCACAGGTTGGGAATCCTGATACACCACACAATCCCTTTGACACTAGACACACTCAGCCACCTTTTAAAAGGTAGCTACACCTGCAACATCTACAGACAACAAGCTTTTCAGTTCTCTCTTGTGCTAACCTGGATACTGCCTTCCTTACTTCATTGTGGACCCTTGGATCTGTAATTATTAAGAAACTTCAGAGATGAGTAATCTTTTCCTGCGTATTTGTGCTTTACGGCAACAGAGCTAGATTTTAAACATTCATTATGAATAACTAGTATGAACCTTAAATCGTTAGGCAGATATCCTTTTAATTAATATTTCTTCGACATCCGAAGTTTTCGCAATCCTAGGTATACAAGGAAATAAAAACTAGTAAATATTATAAGTATCATAGAAAATTTATTTAGATATAAAAGCTAAATATCCTTTGAAGAAACGTGAAGTTTCTTTTAGATATAATGATTCAATTCTGATTTATAGGCTATAATTTTTTTCTTCCTGTACACAGGGATCATTTAATTTTATGCAATGTAGCAATCATTTAAGATGTTTTAAAAATAATTTAATATTGCTTTCTGCTTTAGAATATTTTTTACCAGAAAATGAAACAATGGCTTCCTATCAACTAGCTTTCTTGTCAACTATTGAGGGAGTTAAAATGAATCTATATTTCACAGAGGAGTGAAAACCACCTTTATTTCATTTAATAACAATCTGAAAAAAAAAAGCAGCCATACTATGCCTCTGACTCTAAACAGAACTTTCTACTAATTTCAGTAGAGTTAAACTGAAAAACTGCTGGCACTAGCCCATAATATAATGTGATTTTTTTAATGTTTTGTTATTAAGAATATACCCTTCATTTTTTCAGAGGAAAAAAAAGGTTAAAACAACAGACAAAATGATAGAGCTGTAGACCATTTTCATGTTCTTATAAATCAGGAAGAGTAAATATACTACAAGTATACTACAAGTTTAAGGGTAAAAAACAACAGCGTGTTTCACTTTGCCTAGGTTAACAAAGACTTTCTTTGTTTCACCTGGACATTCAATTTTCTCCTTTCTTGTTTTCAGACAGATACAAAGAGAAAAATGACAGAAGAAGAAGATAATTTTACTAGAGAAGTAATAGAGTTTAACAATGAGTATGGACTAACAAGTAATAGAGACCTTCTGTTTAAAAAAAAAGTCAAGACTGAAATAAATGACTTAGAGAATGAGGCAGCTCTGTTGAAAAATGGTAAGCCTTACACTAAACTATTTTATCTCGGATTACTGAGGAAGGAATAGAAATCAGTAAAATGTAGCTGTGCAAAACCATAATTTTAGTCCCATTCCCCTGCTGTCTGGAACTTTCTCTTAGCGCTAAACTGAGAGTGTGGTCCGTCATACCACTTTACACAAGCATAATTAAAGCCTCTTCTGTTCCCTGCCCTCTGCAGTCCATTCTGACTGTGAGCACCACGAGGAGAAGGAGCAGACCTGTAGAAGTAGCTTCCAAATTCCAATGTCACCAAGCACAGAGTTACACTGTCGTACATAGGGTACTATATTGGGTTTACAGCAATTATAATCATCTACAGTTGAGCTATGTAAATTTCCTTAGCCTAAAAAGAATATTGCACTGCCACGTTATAACGTTACTTTTGAGTTTAAAGATGCAGAATGTAAGATTTCTCAGAACAGAAACACTGGAAAGCAATCCTTCATCATGGAAGTAGGAGTTAGGGATCAAAAACTGAACATGAGTCAGTGACATCAGAACACCAACACCATACTGAGATATAAGCTTAATAGTCCTTCAGTCTAGTTAGGTCAGTTAAGCTCTTAGCTAGTGTCATTTTGGTTTGGATGTTACACTTTAAGAAAAAACGTGGACCAGCTGGAGAGAATCCATATGGAACCAATGAGGGCGATCAGAGATCTAGAGAACATGAGAAGGAACAAAATTAGAGTTGGGACTATTTAACCTATGAAGGAATACTGATGGAAGATGGCTATTAGTCTTTCAAATAGTGACAGGATTCTGTAAAAAGGAAATTAATATATTCTCCATTCCTATAGTGAACCACATAAAAAGTAACAAGTCTAAACCACGATAAGGGAGAGCCTGGCTGTTTAGAAACCTTTCTTAGAACAGTGAGTGACTGAAAGACTCTGCCTTAGGAGATTCCGTTACCAAATGAATTAAGAGTCCCGATTACCAAAAGTCTTTAAAAACAGGTTAGACAAGCAATCATGAGAAATGACAGAGGTCCAGCTGATCCTGGCTTCAGTAGAAGGAATGCACAGATGACCCCTCAAAGCCCTTTCCAGTCTCATGACTGTGATTAATCAAGTGCCGGCGCTTTGAATTCACAATTCACAATCTGTTGTAAAGTTATCAAAATATGACTAGCATTTGAGTTTGTGCTTGATTGTACCTTCTTTCTCTGTTTCTTGTGGCTCTAATTCTGATGTACAACTGAAAAGAAAGTCTGTATTAGTGGCATTTGTTACTTTTAATCATTAATTTTTACATATGTTGGCAGATCTGATCAGTCAAATGATCAGTAGGGCACGAAAAGCGACTAACATTTCCCTCTAGGATCAGTTGCTGTCTTGATTCTATTCTTTTAAATTTCACCTTTTCTGAGGTACAACTTGTCTGTCTTTTTTTCTGTTAGAGTCCTGAGCGCACTGACATCACTAAAGAGAAAAGTTTAAGTACTCATAACAAGGAAATTACGTAAGGACTTCCAGCTGTCAGGGAAACAATCACAATTAATTCCAGATGGTGTCAGTGTTCAAGTTCAAATGTCCATAACACTAAACAAAACAAGTTCTTTTTTTCTAGTCCTGCTGAGAGGTGTCTGTTTGTCACCTATTCGATAAGTCATCTTCCTTTACAACTGAAGCAACTCTAAAGCAAAACATTCTTTTTATGCCTAGTCAACAAAACATGCCAAACATCTTAATAACATTAAATACCCATTTTCTTTCACAGTTATTAATACATTATGTGGCAAATATTTTCTTGTGAAGTGGGTTTTATGTGACTGAGTTTAGTTGATTTTAGTTTTTTATTTAAAGGTTTTTTTGGCTGAAGACTGGTAGAAGTGATTAAGACTATTCAAGATTATATCAAGATGACTAAAACTGCAATGCATTTTAATTTAAAATATATTTTTTCTTAGAAATTGCTTCAATGGAACATAAAAATATTCAGTTAAATGCATTCCAGCTGCAGAAGGAAGAATTAAAGCAGGATTTATTTACTCTCCAAAGCAAACTCAGAGGTGTGACTGATACTCACTTGTTATGACAATTATTTGTGTTCTGACAGTGCTTCTGAAAAAGCATTTTCTGTCAAGTTATTTTTCTTGAGAAAAACAAATCATAGAAACAAGATTGCAATATGCTTTTGCATTATATAATGTATATATACATTACGTAATGCAAATATAATATAATGTATATAATGTATAATTATATAATGTTTAGAGAGTTTAGTATTTCCAAGTGTACTTAAAATCAACATAAATCTTATTTAAAACTCATTTACCTATAATTAAAGAATGTTTCTAATGTTGAAATATTTAACAAGCAACATGATAAAGACAGAGTTGACTTAGGTGCTAAACCTTTGAGTTGTAAATTCAACTTCTACATCTTTACTGACATTTGAGTGACTGTGTACGAAAGTCTGTGCATACAAAAATAGAATACGTACATATAGAACTGGGACAAATGTGGTAAACACACAGGAAACCCTATAGAAGAAAAAAACCTAAAAAGATGTAGAGGGAGCCAAGAAAGTTTCTGTGTCAAAGATGATCACAAGCAATAGGGATGATTTTGAAATTTGGATTAAAAACCAGTAATCCCAAAGTGATTTTGTAACTTTTTTAAAATATGTAAATAATACGTCACAGCAAGAGAGTTAGGAAGGACAGGCAGTAAATATGGCCATAAATGGTTTGGGAAAAGGAATGAAATTTTCTAGAAGGTTACAATATGCATTCCAATTACAACAATAAAATAATTCATGCTCTTCACTCAGATGCCTTTATGCTACAAATAGTTTCACAAGGAAATATTAGAAAAGATAAATTTAGAAAAGGTAAGAAGTCTTCAAATATGGATGATTAATATATATTTATAAGGTAACTGTGATTTTATGTTTAGACCTTGAGACAGTAATCAGGGAGGCTGAAAGAACGACAAAAGATTTAGAAGCAGAAAAAGTCCAAGTCACTGAAAAACCTCGGACTGATCCTGAATGTTTAAGGTGAGAGTCTTATGTTAATACATTCCTAAATTTAATTTTAGGTCTGTAACTGCAGACCAGTCCTGGTGACAATGACTATTCTACCTTGTCTGTGCAATATTCCTTTGAAATCAGAAGAATCATTCATCTTCATTACAGAACACAGATCCCTGTTGTTTATGTTTATTATTACTTTGCATGCACACTCCCACGAACTAAATACTGAAAGCGTTTGCAGGTAAGTAAGTCAGTCAAACTTGGAGGAAGAGTAAAAGATTGCTCCTCAGAAGGGGGAATGTCAGTTCTTAAGCTTTTGTAAAAATAGTGGTGGCATAAGGGTGTTGATGAACTACCCAACGCTACACGTACTTCTGCTGACTGGCTGTACAACCTCCCCCAGAGCCTGATTGCGATGGAATGGATTTGCCACCACAACCTCTTTGAGTCGGGTGGGCCTGTACTGCTGCTACTAAAAGTAGATTTGTTTTCTCTATGATCTCCATCATCGCTTCTAGTTTGCCTTTTAATTAAGCTGGTTTAGAAGAAAACTTTGAAGATTTAACCAAGATAGAAGACTGCACAGTCTCCCTTAATGGCGAATATTTCTTCCCAGGAGCTGCGTGATAATGACTCATTTCTTGTCAGTTTGCTCAAGTATGACATTTGCGCTTCCACCACATAGAAAATAATGTGGTTTTTTTTCCATTATATTCCAATGCAGAAAGCCTCATATGACAGAATTAACCACCTTTTTCTTAATCATGTTTGAGATGAAAGTGCCTGTGCATATTTAAAAATATATAATAGACAACGCAAAGAAAATTCTTCTAGAAAACCTGCCCAAAAATATTCTCTAGCAGAAATTGTTATGGAAAACACAATTTCTGTTCCCATCATGGGTTTTTTTCCTATATATTTCTGAGATTTTGACATAAATAAATATAGAAATTTTTTTCTTACAACTTTTAAGTAGAAAAATAAAATTTTGCAAGGAACTCAGAGCATTTTTCTGAAAAAAGAACTAGTAATAGCCCACTTTTTGCTGAATATTGGGTTTTGAAAGAAAATGATATATCAGCCCTATTACTAACTCTCTTCAACCTATTACATGGTGTTGAGACATGGCCAAAATTCTCTCAGCATAAAAATTAATTAGCTCACAGTTCTGCATACAGTAGCAAAAACTTTGCATTCAACATATGCGTAGAAGACACAGTGTAAATAATAATAACAGCAGCAATTCTGTAAGGCAGAATGTTATAATTCACTCTTTTACATTATTTATTCCATTGTGATATATTAGGTTTTGTGATACATGAGGTTGTCACCTTCCGGCTAAATAGCATACTTCCCTTGGAGTACTTTACTGCCATGATGCCACTTAATATCCAGATTGGTGTAATTAGTTTTCTATAACGGGTTTCCTGTGTATAAGGAAGCAACAAGCGTTATATTACTAATCCACAGTTCTGTCACTGATTGCAGTGAGATCCTAGGCAAATTCAAATCCATGTATGTCTGTCTGTCTACGTAGCGAAATTAACTCCTAGCTGTGGAACAATAGCTTCATCCAGATGGAAAAAAATGTGTTAGATTCTATTAACTTCAAAACCAGTAAGTGTCATTAGTGTCTTTTTCTTTTTTTTTTTTTTTTTTTTCCGAACAACGAAAGCAGGAGGTGAGGAGATCCTTTTATTTCATAAAATGCCTCATTTTATGGTCAAGATAAGCTTATATACTCTGATAATTGCATGCAATGCAGAATGTAAAGTGGTCCTACTGCTATTACTACTATAACAAAAGCAAGTGATCCTAGAGGTGTAATAATATATTGAAGACATTTTCTTTACATTGCAATATTTTTTCATTTCCGATACTGGACAGAATTTAGGGCTGATTTGCCTATTCCATACTTTTACCTTGTGCTTGCTTTTGATCAAAAAGCTCAATGCCTTATAGGGAGAGAGCTCTGAGTAAGTTAACTCAGGTGCCAGAAGTAACATAGCTGTGTTACTGTACTACCATGTCAGGACTAAGAGATTCTGCTTTTCAGGCAATCCTCGTTTGTCTTGTTCTGTATGTCAGAGTGCTGTGCTGTTTACAGTTATCCCAAACCTTACCAGACTTGTACAACTCTATAAAATTATTTATTTATTTATTTATACAAAACCTACTCGACATTTCTTGGACTACTGAATTAAAAGAATTAAAGGGAATTTAAAGCATTATATGCTATAAATAGTGCAAATACATAAATAGTTCCCTTGGAGGTATCTGATCGCCCTCCAGTACCTACAAGGAGATCATTAAAAAGATGAAGCCAGGATCTGCACAGTGCTGCACAGTGGGAAAACAAAAGGTAAAAAGGAGAAGTTGAAACAAGAGGGGTTTAGAATAAACTTAAGGAAAAGCTTTTTTTGTCATGAAGTTAGCATAGCAAAGAAAAAGATTGCCCAGAAAGGTTGCACAGTTTTCATCCTTGAAGGTTTTCAGAATTCACTGGATAAAGCCTGGAGTAACTTGGTCTGACCTTGTAGCTGACTCTGCTTTGAGAAGGACATTGGGCTAAATGACCTTCTGACATCTCTTCCAGTCTGAATTATCAAATGAACCAATTATCACTGTGGGTTGCACAGTCCATAGGTCAATACACGTGCACTGGCTTGGGCCTACACTGCTCAGAGGCAACAAGAAGCCATCATCTCCACGCTGCCTAGAGCTCGGTGAGATCGTATCTGCTCTGGTCCCCTTGAAACGTCTCTGTGGCATTAAGATATAAGGCCACGTATATACACACATATTTTCCATTCAAAAACATGTGGAATACTGAAAGGAGTGCAGCAGAGCGCTGGTTCAAGATGACAATACCTTGCACGTGCAGTGCATGCTCTGTGATGTGCCAGAGACATATTTCAGGGACCGTGGCTGCTGCAGCAGAGCACACGCTGATGCAGCCATGGAAATCGTCCCTCCGGAGGACATCCTTCAGTGACTTATCCTGTCCACTCCTGTGGGTACCCTCTGAAGGGAATCTGAGGATAAAGAGGAATTCATGCTGTATCAGTGAGGAAAAATAAAGCACCAGGCACCTGAGGTAAAGCAGGAAGCCCTCTTGGCACTCTAGATGCACGTTGGGCACTTGCAAAAGACATTTGGCAGCCAAAGTGCTGATGAATGCAATCTTGCATATACTACTGTATATCTTAATAGCAGTCTGTTTTAGTCCTCTTAAAATCAAAGCAATTGAACCTACTGTGTTTGAGAAATAATCCTTCTGAGCCTGAAACTATAAGCTTTTTTCCCCACACAGAATACATTGCAAGAGTAGAATTTTAGTTCTACAGTTTTAGAGCACATAAAGAGAAAGAAATTTTGACAAAAGTAATATGGATCAAAAATATTTTTTCTCTATGAAATAAACACAAAAGATTGATTCTTTTTTTACAGAGCAGGAAACCACACCACTCTTTAAATGGTAAAAATACCAATGTTTTTAATGCTTCCTTAGAACAAATGTGAGAGACGGTCAGCACCAATAACCTGATATATGTAGCTCCCAGATCGCCTTGTAAGTCTGTTATTGTATCACATGCCTAGTCCCAGCTTAAAAATCAATATCGAAAGTAGCTACCAAGGCAAGAATCTTCATTACAATTAAGTATATATCTTAAAGTAAATTGCATTTCAGCTGAAGAGTGTAGCCAGCTAATTAAAATTACAGCAATTCATCTTTGATCTGAGAAAAATGCCCTGTACCATGCCTGCAGTTTCATAAAATTTCTCCCAAATCCATCAAAGAATTACAAAACTCATGAGAAGCACACACCAGTAATTCCAGCAGCTCTTGGTGTTGCAGCTATAGGCTTGTTCTAAGACACATCAGACACAGGAAAAAGCTAACAAAAGCTAACAAAAAGGCCAGGCTGGACAGGGCTTTGAGCAACCTGGTTTAGTAGGAGATGTCCCTGCCCATGGCAGGGGAGTGGAATTAGGTAATCTTTAAGGTCACCTCCAACCCAAACCATTCTATGAAAATTTGAACATTAAACCAGTGATATGATGAGAGGAAATGTGTTAAAGTTTTGCCAGGGGAGGTTTAGGCTGGATATTAGGAAAAATTTCCTTACCAGAAGAGTGGTGAGGCACTGGCACAGGATGCCCCGGGAAGTGGTGGAGCCACTGTCCCCAGGGGTGTTCAAAAAATGTGTAGACGTGGCATTTCAGGCCATGGTTTAGTGGCCGTGGTGGTGTTGGACTTGATAATCTTAGAGGTCTTTTCCAAACTTAATAATTCTATAAGCACAGATAATAGTTATGAATAAGACACGGTACCCTCTTCCTCAAAGCAGGCACCCTGGAAATTATAAGTCTTATGATACAGGTGCATAGTTCAGAGAAATATTTCAGAAAAGAGGGCTTTTTTTCAGAGAAGATCTGCAACTGAAGTTAAAAGCCTTGTTTTAATCATCTATTCTGCCAAGAGCAACCCCAAACAAAAAACTGCAGGAGAGAACTTTGGCATCAGCTCTCTTGAGTCACATTTCCCTGGCAGGTAGCAAGTAGCATCACTTAAGTGGAACAATACAGGAGTCAGGCAGAGACTGACCGATACCAATAAATTCCTAGCTATGTCATTTCACTACTATGGTCGTTGTAATTACTCACTATATTAATTATTTATCTTCTTTCACATCTCAATTTTAAGTTTATGTGTTGCCTTAAGTAAAGTAACCTAGAAATAACTTCAGTTAAAGTTTATTTAGACTGAGAACAGATAGTTTCTACCTAAAATTAATATTTTTCACACTATTTTAAAGGTAGACTAAGTATAAAATGCTTCTTTGGAACACAAATTTCTGTTCTACTTCAGAAACACAGTAGCAGAAGGGAAATGTATGAAGTCAGCTTACTTTGCAAATAATGCAAGGCTTTATATACTTGACTAATTCCTAAAAATATAATATTGCTTCATACACTTCATAATGCAGAAAAAGAAACTCCATTACCAAAATTAGGAAGGA